GTGTTTTTTGTCCAGGATTGCTCTGGCTGCTATCGGCCTCTCCTGGCTCGTTGTGGGAACATCTGTGGTTGGATTTCTGCCAGAGAGCAGGTAAAACACAAACACAGGAGGTCAGATTAAAAACACTTCAGCTGATCTGATTTAATGCAATCCACCAACACAGAGCAGCATTAGGACATTGTTGGGAGTTTGCAAATGTGCTAAAAGATAAAAAAGAAAACAGCAGTTGATTTTCAGGGAGGAATCAATTTAACCTTTGCTGAAACTAGAGCTGACCCTCAGGCTGCTTGCATTTATTCATTTGATGTGTTTTTGTCACTTTATTAGTATTTCTTTGTATTTATTGAGCATTTATTTTTTTGCTTTATATTGAGCAGCCCTGTCCTGCTGTCAGAATGAACTTTGACCCCTTCCTGTTTGTATCTCTGTGCTCCTCAGAGCAAAGAACTGGCTGAGTGAGCTGGTCCACCTCACCTGCTACCGGATCTGTGCCAGAGGACTCTCTGCTACCGTCCGCTACCACAACAAGTCCGTCCCATTCTGGCTTCAGCCTGCAGCTCTTTGCTGCTCTTTTTATTGGATGCTACTTTCTATTGAAATTATCCGCTCAACGTGTTCAACCTAGAGTTTAAAAGATCAAATTAATTCTACTTTTAAACTAAATGGTAGACTGAAAGAAAGTATTAGACTAGCTCCATCTTTTTACCCTCCGTTTGTCGGGTTTTCATCCATTTTCTCCCTCTTAATCCTGTAAGAGTCACAGCGGGGCTGGTGCCTTTCCCCGGCAGTCTCAGGGCGCAAGGAGGGGAACCCCTGTACAGGTCACCACTCTGTCACCCAAGGATGCTTTAGAGAAGCCAATCAACCTAACAGTCATTTGGACTGTGGGAGGAAGCAGGAGTACCCGGAGAGAACCCACGCATGAACAGGGAAACATGCAAACTCCATGCAGAAGGACTCCGAGCCCCGAATCGAACCCAAAACCTTCTTTCTGCAAGGCAGCAGTGCTTCCCACTACCTCACCCTGCAGGACAATTGGTTTTCAATTCTATTCAGTTTATTTCTATAGCTCCAATTCACATCATGTCATCTCAGGTTATAGAAACAATTCAACCAGATCATCCAGTCAGATTGATTC